CGCAATTCACAATAATCATTCTGGAAAAAAACCCAATTTATTTTACAGTTTTTTTTTTAAAGATTTACTTTAAAAAAGAAAGTTAACTGTCAGAAGAAATTTTAACATTTTTTTGTTATATCGTAATATCAAAATGTTGGATGAAATGTTCATAAATTGATTATATTACTTTCTTTAAACTATCACAAACGCTTTAAATATAAAAGTTTATTAAAGTCTTATTTTTCAGTTTTTTTTCAAAATCATCGGGAGATTTCATAAATGGTTTTATCTGGAATTAAAAAGTTTTTTTGTTTTATTTGATCAAATGAAATCCAAACATATACTTTACAAAAAAAGGTAGACCACATATTGAAAATTTGACTAGGGTAAATTGTGATTTTTTTTTGTAGAATTATACTTGTGAAATTAGGTAAACAACTAAATGTCGCGAAATATTTCTAATATCATAAGACAATCTTTAATTGGTTTCAATTTTCTAGAAATTCCGTGAACTTCGATTCATAAAAACAAACTATTTGCAGTTTTAGATTGAAAATTTTAAAATTATAAATTAGTCAAAACGACTAAAACAAAAAGCGTCAAGAAATTTTAAAACTGCCATTTGATCATAATGCAATGTTTTTGTATTTATTTATATCCAAAATTGAGGCTTTGGCATCAATCATTTTTAGAGACATCTTGTAAACAGGCAATTAATGCTCACATAGAATTGATCCCACTAATGTGACCTGAGCTGGGAACTCTTGTATTGTGGAGATCAAGATCAATCTTTGATCTTGATCTTTTGTTATTCTAATGATTAATTCAATCCTGTCAAGTACTAATCAGATATCCCATAAACAGCCCAAAGTAAATAAATACTAAAGTGGGCCAAACTCCTAGTTGGATGACGACATTTTATGTCCCAAGTATTTAAAACAAAATATATATGTATATATATATATAAATTGGTCTGTACGGAGTGCACAGTATACAACAGAAACTGGACTCCGTTTGTTTACAAACACAGAATTAGAATTTGTATTTAACTAAAATATAGATTAACGTAAATTAAGATTTCAGAAGTGAATTTTAGCCATTTTACTGTAAAATAAATAATTTCAGACAGCACAATAATGCCTGCATGCATAATCTGTAAAACAAGGAACGTAAAATTTGTGATATCGAAAAATAAATATCTTCAAAATATATCTCTCGGTTTTCTCTTTTGTCTTTTGACAGATTATGAGAATTGAGAACTAAGACATAGTTTTAAAGATATTTTTCGCCTGAAGGGCTTAAATTTCTTTTTCTATTTAGGGTGGAGGGCTAANTATTTCGGAATGGAGTGAGATTTAAAAGAACAAAACTAAGTAGTTTTAATGATAAATTCCTTTAGAATTAGAAGTGCCAGGCAAAATCAATGAATTAATAAAGCAACTATTATAGTATTTACATATTAACTGCACATGACACAAGCATACACAATTTTTGATTTTTAATTATGAAAATTTCAAAGTTCTAACTGAAGACTACATTTACATGGGGTCTTTGCTTTCCAAAAGAAATCCTTTCCAGAAATTTTTTCCAAACCAAATAAAACCTTATTACCTTAGTCTGTTCCACTTCAGTATTTATTCACTTTGCAAACAGCCAATCAGAAGCCAAGGAATTTTTGCATTCAACCAGTTAGAGAGCAAAGAAATTGTAGATATCCCAAATCAAGGGATCGAGCAGATTCTGCAAAATATTTAAAAGTGCCACCTGTAAATATCAAAGTAAAGGGATCAGTATGATGGGTTTCCACCACAACAGTTCCCAGTTTGAATGATTGATTTTATTCTACTCTTTCAGAACAAACTTTATCATGGACGCTGTTAAGACTGCATCAATATTAACAGCTCCTCCCACAAACCAAAACGAATCCCTACTAGGTATATGGACGAGTATATAGAGTAAGTAATTAACTGGTTAAGCGGTGTTCAGTAAATATTTAAGGGTATGAGTTGATACCTATTTATATATTTAAGGTATATGTTGATACCTATTCATATATNATAAGTTATATCTATTCATATATTAATTAAGCATTAAATTGGTACAAATCTTCTTGACGTTTCTAAAAAAACGTTCCCTGCAGATCTAATATTCCAAATTTGCCTGATATCGTAGTTAAGAGTTCAACGTACACTTAAATTCATTCGCTAAAAACTGAACTTATTTTTCTACTCACACTATAGCTAAGCTAGCAGTGTAAGTGAGATATTCATATTTTAGGCCCATTACTTTAAAAGTCTGGCCGCGCCAACAACGTAAAATCCGCCAGTACATAGGACATATAGGGGCACCTGGCGGTACATGCCGCTTGTTATTAAGGCCGGTCAAGGGTTGGTTCGTATTCTAATTGACCCTATTCTACCGTATACTAGATATAAACACAAGTTTGTTCTTAGATGGTTCCAATGTATCGTGTTCATTATCAGATATCGAGGCAACCATTTCAGCGATAGATCCAGATTTTACTATATATGGATATATCACTGACACGGTAAGGTTTTTTCCTCTATTACAGGGTTATTCACAATTTATGAGACTTTGACGGTTTTATGGAGTTTAAACAGTGTTTTATATATATTTACTAACATAATGCCTTGTTTTTTATGCCAAACTAAATCTCTTGTTGGACCCACTTCCTGCAGTCAATGATTTTTGACATTTTAACGCTTTTCTTTCATTCACCCTTTCGCGCGAGAGAGCACTTTTTATCCATTTGAAATTAGAAAGTCAAGTGCTTTACTAAGGATTTTAAAAGGATTTTTAAAGGCTTTTTATACATTTATTTTGCATTTTTCTGATTTTTTGTAAGTGTGCATAANGGGGGGGGCACTTATCGTTTATTCAATTCAGAATATATTTAAACTTTATAACTTAAATTCTTTAAATTTTTTAGAAGAGAAAGCTGGATGAGAATGAATGTGTTGTTAGTCAGCAGAAAAAGGGACAAACGATTGAAAATTGTGATTCATTAATATTTTATAAAAATGAGAGTTCTATGGACAGTGATTTTATTTAATTGCCACACCATTTATAGAAGGAATACTCGATATTGTAGTTTTTGCTATAAGCATTAAAATCATTTCATACTATCGAAGATGATTATTTTTTAAAAAGATATAAAGAAATATCACATTCATTCATTACAACATACTTTTTGCTTCTCTATACTTTACTAAACTTGTTAAATTCGCTAGAATACAAAAATGGCTCTTTATAATTATAATGTATTTTTATGGATACTTTTCAAAAGATATAAAATTTATTATTTAATCTAAAATGGGACTGTTTTCAGATTTTTAAAGTACCTCAAACATTTGCAATATGATCTCATTTATCTAATAAACTCTAGAAAGGGTCGACTTTTTTGTAAATAATAATTTTTACCAATTGTTGGTTAATAGAAGAGAAAAGCTGAGAACTCTAGAAACAGGTAATTGCAATTTTCAAATTGGCAAAACGTTAGAATTAGAATTTTAAAGTTCAGTGTATAGTCAACTAAAGTAGAGCGTGTGCTCAAGCAAATGCTAGAACTAGACATATAGACATATAGAAATATAGACATATAGACATATAGACATATAGACATATAGACATATAGACATATAGACATATAGACATATAGACATATAGACATATAGACATATAGATAGACATATAGATAGACATATAGATAGACATATAGATAGCCATATAGATAGCCATATAGATAGCCATATAGATAGACATATAGATAGACATATAGATAGACATGTAGATAGACATATAGATAGACATATAGACATATACGACATATACAGGGTGAGTAAAAAAGTGTGATTTGCGGCGTCTTGTGCAAAATTGTACCTTTTTTGTGCAACTCTCCTATATGGTGTTTTTTCAATATTTTTTGAAAATTTGTAACTGGTACTTTAATGGGCAAAAAAAAATCCGCGAATCTTTTTTTCTCTCGAAATCAAAGTTTAGAAAAACAAAAATGTGTAATTAAATTATTTCGATCGAAATCTAGAATTTAAAAAAAATGTTATCACAGAAAAATTGGAAAATTGTAATAAGAAAATTCGCAATTTTCAGTTCTCGTCTAACTTTTTAGGAAAAGTTACTTAAATTCTCTAGTTCCTTTCTTCTTAAGTATTAAATATACGCTGTTCAGTTGAAACATTAAGAACCATTGAAAAACAATTGTTCCGTAAAAATTAGACCAGAACTAAAAATTGCAAATTTTCTGCGATTCTGTGATTCAATCTTTTTAAAATTTTAGATTTCGATAGAAATAATTTTTTTTACACATTTTTGTTTTTCTGAACTTTTTACTTTGAGAGAAAAAAAGTTTTTTTTTTTGGGGGCCATTGGAGTACCAAAAAAACACAATTTTTCAAAAAATATTGAAAAAACACCATTAAGTAGAGTTGCACAAAAAAGGTACAATTTTGCACCAGGCGCCGCAAATCACACTTTTTTGACTCACCCAGTAGATATATAGATATATAGATTTGATAGAGTTATTAGATTTAATTGTATATTTGTTTATATTACTAGCTAAAGTGCTCGGCGTTGGACGCAGAATTTTATAAAAGGCTTTTGAAAAAATTTGAATTTTGAAGAAGAAAAATACCAATTTTGACAATTCTTATAGAAAAAAGTTGATTTAGTTCTTACCCCTGGGTTCCCTTAAAAATGTCGGCCAATTTGGTTCAGCCGTTTGGCCAGCTATAGCTGATGTGAGCGAAGAGCTTTATCATATAGATGAGCGATGAGCTTTATTTTAAAGATATCAACACATTATTAAACAAAAAAAATTTTTGAATATTTCACTGAAAAGTTATACTTGGTAAACCCCTATCATGCCATCAGCTGTCGTATCACTTTCAGAGGTTCCATGTTATAAACAACCCAATAATTCCCCCGCCCCCTCCCACTCCCCTTTAATTGTAAGATGAATACTAATAACTTAAAATATTAAGGTGGGAGTAAGAAGAAGGCTGGTTCCAGCCGGCGGTCAGCTGTTGAGACCGGGACGGGTAAGGACGATGACGTGGACTACGAATGGATTCCCAAATCCTCTCTCCGTACTCCCGGCAGCGGGAAAACATCTCCCCGCCAGCGGAAGAACCGTGGTGCTGGTTCTGACACGGATTGATCTCTCCGATACTGCTCAGGACCTGCAGCTCACTCCGGAGATGCAATCTGAATCCTACACAATCTCCTTCTATCCTTCTCCTCTTAACCTTCCTTCTCCACAACTCATATCTTTGCCGTTGAGTTTCCTGTCTTCTCAATATGCTACCTTTACACTAGTATCAAGGTTTTTCAACACGTGCTTAATATTTAAACCATTTGTTTAAGCCCCCAAACTCTTTTATTTTAACTTTCTAAATACGGGGGTTTGGGGGCTCGGGTTCAGTAATGAGCTCTACTGTTATGCGTTGTTCGTGTTAAACTAATTTATTTGTAGAACGCGCCTTGTGAAAAATAAAGTATGCATTTTCAATTTACTAAGTTTGAATGGTTTTAATTTTTAAATTCAAGATTTTCAGTTTTAATTTTTATGTTAATAATGTTTTTTGGTGTTTTAGAAAATTTATAGGGTTTAGTTTAAACACTAATTTTATATTCCTAGTTTAAGTGTAAAGACTGATGTAACGATTAAGTTATTTATTTATCAGAGTGTTTAGTTTTAATTGATGAAAAGTTCACTTTTTGTTTTAAGATTCTTCTGAAATATTATCTTTTGATATTGGATAAATATTCTGATTCAGTTCAAAGAATATTCACGTAATTAAACCTTACGAGTTATCCAATTTGTTTAATTTGAACAAGTCACTAAACATGAAAACCGACGCGACGACATCTTCCACATTACTGTTAAGGTCTTGGATTATATACTACCGTTGTGAATTGTATATAAAATGAAGGGCTCCTAGAAATTTCTGTGACAGTCCCTTTAAAGAACGACTTTTTAATGTCTAAGTTATAACCTGTTTTTATGCAATGATTTTGAATCAAAATTCACAAATTTAATTCCCGTAGCTGAATAAAATCCAAGCAGCTGTTTAATCATAGCGTAGTTTTAACCAACTTTAAATCGATTCATGATTAAATATGCAATTTGTTAGTTTTTTTTAAGTTTTCATTCAAAATTCGGACACACAATCGTCTTCAGATTATTGGGAATTCAGAGACGACTTGAATATCGCTTTTGATGCCCGATTATTGATAAATGACAACGTGAATCAAAAAAAGATTTAAATTCAAATGAGCTTTCCAAATTATGGTCTACCTTTTTTGTATCTTTAAAAGTAACAGAGATATCAAATATTTTAACAGTTCTGTTGATTTTTAATAAACTGGAATCTGGATAAAATTTTTTGATATCTCCGGCATTTTTGAAGATATAAAAATGTTATGACCACATTTTGGAAATGAAGAGACAAGGACTTTTCGGTGTTTAATGTTTTAACTCTGATACCACAAAATTGTGTTGCAAAGACGATATGGAAGTAATTATATTTCAATGTTTATTATTATGAATTAAATAAATTCAACCCTATAAAAACGACAATCTCTTCTGCATCTGAGCCCGTTTTCTCCATAGAAAGTGGTCGTGTATTTCACGTACTTTGGGGGGCGATATGTTGGCCGCTAGATGTCTCATGCTAAATTCTTATCTGATTTCACGACCAATATAGGAGACGTCAAGTTGTCGACCAATGTAGTTTATGGAAGGAACTGCCTCTGATAAGGTTTCAAGGGTACGGGCATTCAGTTGTGCATGGAGTGTCAAATGAATTTACGCTTACCAGATGCGTAGTGGGGGGGGGGGCAAGCCCCCCCCTTAGACCATGGGGTTTTCCGGCCCCAACGGACGTGCCGAGCCGACCCACCCCCTGGATAATTTTCTGACAACGCCCCTGACGTTGGTATAACTGCCTTGCCAACAATGATCAATAAATATTTCCGTATTTTTATTTTTATTAAATTTGAATTGTGGTAGAAACCACGTAGGGGGTTCCATAAAAAAATTCCAGCTGATTTGTAAACAATCAATATAATGTTCTTGTGTGTGAATTAGTTTCAGTGATGAAGAAAGGGAGGAAATCCTGAAGACGACATTCTCCAATCCTAACCTGGGAAATTATTCTAGTTTTCCTAATTCTGTTCCAACCCTTGAGAGCCTGAACCTAGAACAGCTCTTTGCTCATATACATAAATCTTATATCATATACAGTACAGGGTGCCCAAATAAACAGGAGAATTGAGAGACTTGAATATCGTCTCTCTAATTTCTGATGATTGATAAATGACATAAAGTGAATATAAAAGTTTGAACGTATAATGAGCTTTCCCAAATGTATGTGTGGAGCTACCTTCTTTTTATCTTATTCCCTGGGCAACGCTGGGTTCTCAAGCTATTATACATGTATATACAATATGCATATATTTATAGTATCAGCTTAAAATTAAACATTTTAATATATTTCAGGATCTTGCACTATACATAATGTTTCATGCGTAATATATACAGGGTGAGTAAAAAAAGTTTTAAATTTATGGCGCCTGGTGCAAAATTGTACCTTTTTGTACAACTCTCCTGAATGCAGGTGTTTTTTTCAACATTTTTTGAAAATTTTCAATTTTCAGGTCTGGTCTAAATTTTAAGGAAAAATTAATCCTTTCTTCTGAGTATATTCAAAAATTAAAAATATACACTGTTCAACTGAAACCTGAAGAACCATTGAGAAACAACTTTTCCTTAAATTGGAACAGGTCTTAAAATTGCGAATTTTCTGTGATTCTGTGATTCAATCAATCAATCAATTTTAGAGTTCGATTGAAATAATTTAGATATACATTTATGCTTTGCTGAACTTTGATTTTGAGAGAAAAAAATGTTCACGGATTCTTTTTGAGCAATTGGAATACCAAAAAAAATTTTTTAAAATATTGAAAATCACCATACAGGAAAGTTGCACAAAAAAAGTAAAATTTTGCACCTGCAGGCGCCACTAATCACGCTTGTTTTGACTCACCCTTTTAAAATCAATATTTTTTATCAAAAAATCGAATTTATTCTTTCAAATTTGAAATCTATTTTTTCTCGAAGCGTTTTTAAAATTTAACGGACATGCCGGGCACTTGAGTGGCCTGTATGACCTGTATTCTAATGTTCTAAGGGAAAATTTATTTTTTAAAAACTTCTACTAGGCTTTAAAATAAAAAGTTAATCGAGCTGAAGAACTGATTTATGCTCGTATTTCGAGCAAATAATACGAAATAGTTAAAATAAACAAAAAATGATCTATTGGTGCAGTGAACAAAAGTTTAATTGACCAAAAAAAATGAATAAACGTGGCTTAAATGGCTTTCAAACTGGTAAGTTTTTTAAAGGACATTTTTACATATTCAGATGACTCATTAGCACTCGCTACTTTAGATTGTCCTAACTGCAGCGCTCGGCCCAGAAAGTTTCTGAAACTAACCTATAAGCCCAGTTTTATATTTCACAAATTTACTCGCGCTTGATACGAAATAATGATTTTGGCTGAAAAAATCACTAAAATTGCATAGATTTTATTATAGTGAATTGGAATAAAGAATGTATTCTAATATGAATTTGTTTGTTAAATAAAGTTCTTTTACTAGGAAAAGTGAAATTTTTACTTTAATTTAGTAAAACATAGCGATACAAATTCATTATAATATTTTTATTGAACATAATAAATCAGCTTATCTTTTTCTTCTTATCTAAATAAATTTAATACTTTTTTCATCTTTAAATACTTCCAAACAAAATAAAACTTTGAATAATGTGCAACTTCAACAGGATATAATTATTTTTTATTGTTTAAGTGCTATCTTAAGTATTTATGTTTTAGATTAATACAATTAAAAGAAAAGCGAATAAATGAAATATTTCTCTACACAAGGGCAGTCCATTATCCCCCCCCCCCTGAGTGAAATCCTGAAACCGCCCTTGTCTCTGCACAAATTATCTAACCAAGACTCATAGTTTAATTTAAAAATACAATTACTATAGTCGGGCCCAACTTTTTGTACCAACTCGCGTGTCGATTTTCTTGTAATTTGAAAACTCTTCAATGTTAACAGAGAAATCCACAAATCATACCAACTCAGTAAATCTACCCCTACTTCCCAGATCAATCCATCCTTCTCCCACCTCCGTACTAACCATGTAAATCTACCCCTACTTCCCAGATCAATCCATCCTTCTCCCACCTCTGTACCAACCTGTAAATCTACTCCTACTTCCCAGATCAATCCATCCTTCTCCGACCTCCGTACTAACCCTGTAAATCTACCCCTACTTCCCAGATAAATCCATCCTTCTCCGACCTCTGTACCAACCCTGTAAATCTACCCCTACTTCCCAGATCCATCCATCCTTCTCCGACCTCCGTACTAACCCTTTAAATCTAGCCGTACTTCCCAGATCAATCCATCCTTCTCCAACCTACGTACTAATCCTGTAAATCTACCCTACTTCCCAGATCAATCCATCCTTCTCCCACCTCCGTACTAACCCTGTAAATCTACCCCTACTTCCCAGATAAATTCATCCTTCTCCCACCTCTGTACCAACCCTGTAAATCTACCCCTACTTCCCAGATCAATCCATCCTTCTCCAGAGGAGTCCTATCTACTTATTAACACACTAAGTAACCAACCGCCATTTTACACAGGTTTACTATTTAAACCAACAGACATATTTTAAACTGGATATACATCTGGCCTTTGTATATTTGTTGGCCAGATTGTATCTAGAAATAAATTTGGTGTAGTATTCTCTTATTGGTATTATTGGTGGCCCTGAAAAGGGCCGGTTGTTTTGTTAGAATTGATAAATTTGATAGTTTAGGCTCTTTCTCCACGGATTCTTCTGGCGAGTTGGATGTCCTTGGGCATGATGGTAACCCTCTTGGCGTGGATGGCGCACAAGTTAGTATCCTCGAAAAGCCCGACCAAGTAAGCCTCACTAGCCTCCTGGAGAGCTCCGATAGCGGCACTCTGGAACCTCAGGTCGGTCTTGAAATCCTGGGCAATCTCCCTAACCAGACGTTGGAAGGGGAGCTTGCGAATTAGAAGCTCGGTGGATTTCTGGTACCTTCTAATTTCCCTAAGGGCGACTGTTCCGGGCCTATATCTGTGAGGCTTCTTCACACCTCCTGTAGATGGAGCAGATTTCCTAGCAGCCTTGGTGGCCAGCTGCTTCCTAGGCGCCTTTCCTCCGGTGGATTTACGAGCGGTTTGCTTTGTACGTGCCATGTCGTGGTTGCGATAGAACTGGTGGTCACTGGGGCTAGGCGGAGTTTATTTATATACTCAAGTTATGCATGACGCCGCCGCATGGTGGCAGCACTTATCATGTGTGGTAGTAGTAGTATGCTAGTGGAAAGAGGAACGGGGTGGGTTGGAAAACTTTAAAATTTTGGCGGGAGATACTTCTTAAAAACACAAAATGTTCAGCTGCGTTTAACAATCATTATTCGATGGGCTTTTTTGTTCTTTTAGTTCCAAGAAACTGGAATATCAAATTTGTATTTTTTTTTAATTTTGAACTGATGAAGCTAAATTTTGTAATAATCTTACGATAGAAATTTTCTCACACAGTACATACTAAAAAGCATGGCTGAGATAATAATTTTTTTGTTCATTTATAATCTTAAAGCATTTTTCATCGATGTATCTACGATACCTTTTTATGTAAACGTGCAAAATGATATAATTCAATTCAGCTCTTTTTAAATTATAATTTATAACAATTTAAAATCAATATTCGTCAAATTTGTGTATTGTCATATGTAGTTCAAGCGGAATGTATTATGTTCTAGGCCCTAATTTTGCGTATTTTTAATGATTACTTCCGCCGTTAGATGTCTCTGAAAATGGAACTATTTTCTGTTGGTTATTGACGTGGCCCGAAATTCCTCTGGCATTCTGTCGCCCAATAGAAATTGCTTAATCAAAATCTCGACCAATGGTGGATCAGAATTATCAATGGAAGAGCAAACAAATTTCACTTTCGTAAGTCAATACAATTTTAACTTTTAAATGAACGTTCTTTTTGCATTTATGGACTTAAAACTGTGATTTAAACTAAGTTTATTTTTCAGATTCAGAACAATTTTATACATTTTGAATACTAAAATTGATGTCAATAATCTTATGCCTACATCAGCTGACATGTTACGCAAAAGGAAAAGTGTGTTTTTTTCTTCTTTAATCAAAAATCAAGACAAGAGTAATATGATTGATGCAATCAGAACGAAGAAACGAAACTTTTTCATAAATTTGTTTTTAGTTTATGAATAATTTTAAATTAGACATTAATTGTGTGAAATATTCACGAAACCTTGAAACTTGTTTTCATGAATTGTATTATTAGTAATACAATACAACTATATGACTCACGCGCCATCAAAACAAAAATTTTCTTTTTTATTTGAACTCGACATGAGTCACAACTCACACTACGAATTCATAATCATATTATGCGGGCTCACATTTAAGAATGATTTAATGTAAGAATTAATATTTAGAAAAAATAATGTAAGAATTAAATGAAAATATAAGGTTTGTATCATGATTCAGGAGGTATATTGTGCGATTGTTGTTTTGATTTTGATTCCCTAAGTTTAAAATTACTAAAATATAGACAAGTATGAAAAATTGATTATGATTGATAATTATAAGTTCTTAAACGTTAGATGAAATGTGCCCCCCCCCCCCTACACAAATACTCTCGACGCCCCTGAGTTGCACTGTTTTCTACAATTCATGAGAAAGAGTGTGGCTTCATCTTTTTGTAAAGATAAAAATCTTTTTCATGTTCTATAATCTTGATCTTAAACTACATTTAGAGTTTAGACTAAAAAATACTCTACGGCTGAACCGATCGAGCCCAAGTTTTGTGTGGGACCTCACGTGACCCCAGGGAGAGTTTATGAATTATCAAAATTTTAAAATTTGTGTTTAAAGGTTGTTTTTTTTTAACTTTTTGAAAATGCGAGAAAAAATATGATGAAATCCGCAAACTTTTTTTGTTCTTGTTCTGTACAAAGAGAAGATGCTCACAGATGCTTACGCCCTAAAAGCCTAGTTAAAGAAAATTTAGTTAACTAGTGTATTTGATGTTGTTACAAAGCAAATAGTTTTACTAGTAGGTAAGTAATTACAAATGAAATCACTTATAAAGAGAAATATGTCTGTTTACACTGCATAATTTGAGCCTAAAAGTCTTCTTCCTATTCCAGAGTTTTATGGGTCTCTCTGTGTGATTTCAAGAAAATTATCATAATGTATAAAAACTTTTAAATTGTTTTTTTGTTTGCTATAATATGTTGGTTCGTGTAATAAAACAATAAACGTCGAAACGGCTGAACCGATGAGGCCCAATTATTTGGTGCGAAGGAATATGGTTCCGGAAATCTACGCGGTTTTATAAACAGAAGATAAAATAAATATTTTAGTGAAATCTTCATTTTTATTTCACATCAAAGCTTTATCCCCGTTAAAAGCCTGCGTGAGGGGCTTGAGATCGAGTGAGTGTTAAACATACTACATAGTAAATATACTAACTGCATGGTACATACTACATAGTAAATAAACTAACTGCATGGTACATACTACATAGTAAATATACTAACTGCATGGTACATACTACATAGTAAATATACTAACATACTACTTTTATTTTTATGAGAATATTTTGTACTTTATCATTATTACTCACTTCATCGTGAATTTCATAATCAACGCTGCAATAAAGTAATCATCGTGCTATATAGCTAAATTAGCTGTGCATTATAGCATGTGTTGGTTTTAGTTGGTTCCCGGATTTTCATTTTTCTCCAAAAATTTTTGGATATTTCCAAAATATTGTTTTCAATATAATTTAAAATAAAATTGAAATTAACTTTATACTTTTACTTATACTTTGTTTCAATGCTTATTAAATCTTTAGAAATAGCTACAAACGTTCCATATTATTACCTATAACACGATTATTTTTGCACGACGGCAATAAATTTTCTCGCTAAAGCTCGGGGACAAAGTATAACAATTTCAACCCCTCAGAAAGCACTTGAGGGGGGTCGCAGCAAAAATCCCCCCCTTTCTATAGATTAAATCCTTCTACGCCCCAATTATTTTTTTTTTTTTTGCTAAAAGTTTTTAATATTTCTCTATATGGTAGTGTCCTAGATAACTCCAACCACAAAAAAGATAAAATATTGATATCATACTTTTACTATTTATTTAGGATAATATTGTAAAATAAAGAAAGATAAGATAACATATTAATTAACTGGAAATAATATAAATAGATAAAGAAAATAATGTAAAAAATGTCGAAACACTTAAAAATTGTAATTTTATCACTATAAAGTATGTAAATTAGCTAAGCAAGCGTTATCATGGCATCAGTCTGTAATTATAAAGATTTGAGCTTAAGGAGGGAATGTTGAATGGGGNAGAATAACAGGAGGAAATAAGCCCCGAAAGTCGTGAAGATAAAGTAATTAGGCTAATTAATGAAAAAAGCGGTAAATGATTACTGAGCAGAACATAAAGAAAGAAAGGAAAATATTTTGATCTAACTCCTTTCTCGTGTTTAAAGTATATATACATGTTAACTGTATAGATATATTAGTCTCAAAACTAAGCAGCCATTAATTCTTGAGAGATGTTACAGTAAAGGGACTGTAAGTGTAATTTCAAGCAACCCTTCCTGCAAAGATTGCAATGCCCGATTTACAACGGTACCCTTAAAAGATTTCTGTTATCAAGATATCAATTATATATCAAACATTATAGTTATGAAAACTTATTATTTTCAATTGTGGGGTTCTCTCTAGAAAGTGACTGTAAGCAGGAAAACATAAATGAATTATCGGAATAAAAGATTTTAAAACCTTGAAAACAAAAATATCTTCCTTTATTTAGATCAGATAAAGGTTTCAAGGGCACAGTTGTGAATCGGGCATGGCCATCTTTGTAAAGAGTATCACATGAAATTACGCTTACAAGTCTAATTTAAAACCAGCAAGTCGGGTCTGAATTTGAACTTGAGATTAAACTGTTAAATCGCAGCCTCTGAATTGAGACCACCTAGTTAGGCATCGCTAATAGTTTCTAAGTAGCAGTTATGAGAGCATTTACAAACAATTTAAAGTACTGGGTTGCCTACAAAGAAACTGTAAAATTGTTTTCTTTATTTTCAACACATTTTTTCCCAGTAAACGACTATTCAAGACAGAAGTCTTCTTTTAACGTTAAGATCGTCTTTACATTCTCATCCTTTGTGGGTAACCCTGTAATAGCAGCTTTACAAGAAAAGTAGCTATTGACTGAACAGTTCCCATGAGTTAAGATACCACTCTGGAGCTTCTTCCATATCCATACCGTAGTGTATAAACAGCTCCTCTCCTTGTCTCACAAACTAAACAAAAGTAAACTTTTACAGTTTTTGTCAGAGAAAGATCGAGACAAAAATCTTTGTTGTGAGTTTTGAAAATGAACCCATGGAACCAAATCGTATAGTAGTGTTAGAATACGTGGATCCCTTTTTTAATTTATCGTTGATAGTTTAAAGAAAAATAAAGAAGAAAAGTAATACTAATTAATTAATTTAGGTATGTATGAAAGTTATTAAAAAAAAATAATGAACGTATGAAGGTATTAAAGAAGGATGGATGATAAGTGAATAGGATGAATGCAAATTTAAATGCCGTAACTACCAGAATGAATGGATAAATGGATGTCTAAACTACCATGTGAATAAATGCCTAAACTACCAAAATGTAAGAATGAATGAATGCATAAAACAACCAAGATGAATGAATGTGTAAACTACCTGAATGGTTTGTACTGCAGGTATTCTACCATAGCAAGGATGTACTGAATGAACCCAATCACAGTTTGGTTTAAAACTATGGTTTATCTTGTGTGCTAGCGTAGAACTGTAATTAGCTGAACTTTGATACTAAACATGACATGATAAAAATAAAAATAATAAAGATTGAAAAAATGGGTAATTTTCAGGTAAAAAAACAGGGGCAAATAGTGTAAATGACTTTCTTTTGTCTAAGCTAAAGGTTAAAAGTTCTAGATTTAAGTTTTAAAAAGATAACTTGCATGCGGCCCATGCAGTACGGTGAGTTTTCCGCAATGAAATACCCCAGTTGAGCATTTAAAAATAAATAATTGTTTTACTAACCTTGGGAAGAATATCTAATATTTCCGATTTACTTCTAGATTCCTTTGTCTCCCAGTCATTATAGATTCCATAACCAGTTATTCCTATAGTCTCTCCAACCTATAGATTACAGATTCCATAACCAGTTATTCCTATAGACTCTCCAACCTATAGATTATAGATTCCATAACCAGTTATTCCTATAGTCTCTCCAACCTATAGATTATATTATTCCTATAGACTCTCCAACCTATAGATTATAGATTTTATAACTAGTTATTCCTATAGTCTCTCCAACCTATAGATTACAGATTCCATAACCAGTTATTCTTATAGTCTCTCCAACCTATAGATTATAGATTACATAACCAGTTATTCCTATAGACTCTCCAACCTATAGATTATAGATTCCATAACCAGTTATTCCTATAGTCTCTCCAACCTATAGATTACAGATTACATAACCAGTTATTCCTATAGTCTCTCCAAAAATCATTCTTTCTATATTATGATGTGTTATATTTGATTCAAAAAATTCAATTTTCTTATTAAAAAATCAAACTTTTATAATGCTGCAGTTTTAGAATTTTTCAACTCCTCAGATTGTTAAAGAGCCCATTGAAACCACAAAAAAAGTTAACTGTTTTTAACCGGTAAAAAATAAACCATGTTTATCACTGGTCCTTAACATCCGGCTCTAGTTACATGCTACACAACTATATGCAAAATATTGTGTCAAGTCTAACAAAGATTTGAATAAAATTACATTAGAAATCCTTTTTTTATAGCTTACACCATTAGGTTTTTAAAAAAATTTAAGATTCCTGCATGGTACATACTACATAGTAAATATACTAACTGCATGGTACATACTACATAGTAAATATACTAACTGCATGGTACATACTACATAGTAAATATACTAACATACTACATAGTAAATATACTAACGCTTTTAAAGGAACTGTTAAGGTAAAATGAAAGGGGGTAACTAGCCTGAAGTATGAACATTTTAGGAGTTGATCGCGACCAATATTTGTTCTATCTGATGTCCCTGTCTCGAGAAATTTACATAAAACTGTGTCAAAGATATACAAAACTTACATATATACAATATAGTATATGAATCAAAGTTTTAAACAGATCATATACAGCAAACACAGAACAAATCTGAAAATTAGGATAACCCAGAGTTTCCTAAAGATTTCAGGTACGCTCCTATTATAATTTGAATTTGATACTTTTTCATTTTTGATAGATATAATTGATAATATAATTGTTACGTCTGTATCACGTGACCAGAATTTCCACCAATGGCCTTTCAGTATTTGGTCACAAGGCTCCGTAGACTAGATTACGTAAATATGAGTTTTTGCATAACTTTGAAAAAATAATTTAATATTAATTTCTCGAGACAGTGACATCAGATAGAACTAATATTGGTCGCGACCAACTCCCAAAATGTTTAGGCTTCAGCCTTTACTCTCTTTCATTTTACTTTAACAGTTCCTTTAAGTAATTAGTTTTATCATGCTCAGACCTTAGATTATGTTTTTGAAATATTAGAAGTAGTTGAATCTCTATAGACTTCGTTGAACCACTTCTCTTTCGTTACCGGTTCAAGTTTAAAAAAGAAGTGGCTTTAATACTTAATAACTATTAATTAAATCTGGTGGCAGGTTTTATTTAATTATTATCTTGATATGGTTAGATCTATTTACAAGAGGAGTCTAACCTTGAACCTAACTCCGTTATAGAAGGAGATAAGTGTTCCAGGTTGAATATCCTTGACAGCAACCAACCCTTCTCCGCCTCCTTCTACTCTAGATTTTATCACACGAACAAACTTAACAAATTAATCAATCAATAAATCAATACTTTTCTTCCTCATAATCTATCAAATAATCAATGAATCAATCCTTAATTTTTTTATCTGTTACCTAATAAATCAATTAAAACATCCTTCTTACGTTCTATCCTATTCTTCACATGTCCTACCCTATTCTTCACATGTCTTACCCTTCTGATATCCTACCCTCTTTATATTCTACCATCTTTATATACTACACTACTTATATCCTATCCTATTTATGTCCTACACTCCTTATATCCTACCCTACTTTTATGCCCTACCCTTTCATCTGTCCTACCCCCTTTCTGTCCTATCATTCTTCTGTCCTACCCTCCTACTGTCATGTGAAATAGATAATGAGTAGGATTTGTAATTACATCTCTTGTAACATATAAACTTCAAATACGCTATTAGTTGATATAGAAACTCCAACTTGATTGCAGCAAGAGAGTATTCGTTCCCTGTTTTGATAAACAGGTTGAGGATTGTGTCCTAGTTTAGACATTGATAGCTCGAGATTGCGCCCAGTGGTAGTGGCATTGATAGTTCACGCCAACGTAGTTGTGTGAACTGTGTCCTGGTTGAGACATTGATCAATTAATTGCTAGTGTCCGAGTTGCAAGTGGTAGTGGCGTTGATAGTTTTCAGAGTAATAGCTGTGTGTTGACATTTATAGTCAAGAAAATCTGAGTTGTACCTGGATAGATACGTTACCAGAAATTGTTATGGAGTAGGCATTTACTAAAGTGCTACCCTACTACTGTCCAAACCTCGTTCTGTCCTACCCTCCTACTGTCCTACCCTCCTTCTGTCCTACCCTCCTTCTGTCCTACCTTCCTTCTGTCCTACCCTCCTTCTGTCCTACCCTCCTTCTGTCCTACCTTCCTTCTGTCCTACCTTCCTTCTGTCCTACCCTTCTACTGCCATACCCTCCTAATTATCTACCCTTTTACTTATACGTTGCCAGAAATTGTTATGGAGTAGGCATTTACTAAAGTCCTACCCTCCTTCTGTCCTACCCTCCTTCTGTCCTACCCTCCTACTGTCCTACCCTTATTGTCCTACCCTCCTACTGTCCTACCCTCGTTCTGTCCTACCCTCCTACTGTCCTACCCTCCTTCTGTCCTACCCTTCTACTGTCCTACCCTTATGGTCCTAACCTCCTTCTGTCCTACCCTTCTACTGTCCTACCTTCCTACTGTCCTACCCTTATTGTCCTACCCTCCTACTGTCCTACCCTCCTACTGTCCTACCCTCCTACTGTCCTACCCTCCTTCTGTCCTACCCTCCTTCTGTCCTACCCTCCTTCTGTCCTACCCTCCTTCTGTCCTACCTTCCTTCTGTCCTACCTTCCTTCTGTCCTACCCTTCTACTGCCATACCCTCCTAATTATCTCCCCTTTTTCTTATACGTTACCAGAAATTGTTATGGAGTAGGCATTTACTAAAGTGCTACCCTCCTTCTGTCCTACCCTTCTACTGTCATACCTTCCTACTGTCCTACCCTCCTACTGTCCTACCTGTTGTTCATAAATATCTGGCTGATGAGGAGGACAAGTAATATCAGAACTTGAACTAATCCATCTCCTAAAATAAACATTTAGTGAATTTTTTTGCAATTTCTCTCTTGTAATGAGTTGCACATTTTGTACATTTGTTATCAGGTCATTGCAGCAAATCCTCCTATTTTGTACATTTGTTATCATCTCATTGCATAAAATCATCCTATTTTGTACATTTGTTATCAGGTCATTGCAGCAAATCACCCTATTTTGTACATTTGTTATCAGTTCATTGCAGCAAATCCTCCTATTTTGTACATTTGTTATCATGTCATTGCATAAAATCATCCTATTTTGTACATTTGTTATCAGTTCATTGCAGCAAATCATCCTATTTTGTACATTTGGTATCAGGTCATTGCAGCAAATCATCCTATTTTGTACATTTGTTATCAGATTATTTAGCAAATCATCCTATTTTGTACATTTGGAATCAGATCATTGTAGCAAATCATCATATTTTGTACATTTGTTATCAGGTCATTGCAGAAAATCATCCTATTTTGTACATTTGGTATCAGGTCATTGCAGCAAATCATCTTATTTTGTACATTTGTTATCAGATCATTGTAAGTAAATCATCCTATTTTGTACATTTGTTATCAGATCATTGCAGAAAATCATCCCATTTTGTACATTTGTTATCAGATCATTGCAGCAAATCATCCTATTTTGTACATTTGGTATCAGGTCATTTCAGTAAATCATCCTATTTTGTACATTTGTTATCAGATCATTGCAGCAAATCATACTATTTTGTACATTTGGTATCAGGTCATTGCAGCAAATCATCTTATTTTGTACATTTGTTATCAGATCATTGTAAGTAAATCATCCTATTTTGTACATTTGGAATCAGATCATTGTAGCAAATCATCCTATTTTGTACATTTGTTATCAGGTCATTGCAGAAAATCATCCTATTTTGTACATTTGTTATCAGATCATTGCAGCAAATCATACTATTTTGTACATTTGGTATCAGATCATTGCAGAAAATTATCCTATTTTGTAGAATTTATGATTTCTAAGTCACTTTATATTAATTTCTTCGCTAATTCAAAATGATGCCCTACATCTCTAATCTATATTTTATAGAGCACAGTTCTCTTTCAAGGCTTGTATTGCATATTTAGGTAAAAGTGATGTAACAGTACGCTTGTGTTATATAATTGTTCTTGACTTCTGTCAACATGTAAAGCTTTCTAGGGCAAAGTGAGCATAAACTGTAATCAGTCCTTTAAACGTTTTCTTTCGCACAATTTATATTCGCACACAATTTAGAAAATAGAAATTATCTGCTAGATATGAGACATATTGAGTTTTTTTGCAAAACTTTTGCAATAATGAAAAGTTTGTTTTTTAAATAGGTTTATAATACATTTAAAATAAAAAATCAGGCGCACAATTTATATTCGCACACAATTTAGAAAATAGGAATTGTCTTCTAGACATGGGAAATGTTGAGTTTTTTTGCAAAACTTTTGCAATAATGCAAAGTTTGCTTTTTAAATAGGTGTTATAATACATTTAAAATAAAAAATCAGAAGCCATTTTCAAAAATATGTAGATACACACTTATATATAGATTTACAAACAATTTGTTTTGACAAAATCTCATGATTTTTGTAATTTCTGTAGATTTAATCTTTAAGCTGTGTAAATGCGCCTTGTCATGAAATATGAACATTTGTCATGAATAGTTTCCAGGAAACAGGAGTTTTCTAAGCATTTACGTTGACGTTGACTTAATGTTGAAAAGTTTTTGTTACGATTCAATTTATATTTATTCTTGAACAACTTATGTTTTAAAATAGGGAAATTCAAGGATTTAAACACACAAATATGAAAGCTATTTGCTGTTTAAAATATCGTTTCTAAATTGGCTACGGATCCGTGGATTTTCAAAGCTTAAAGGGACTGTCGGCATAATTTCAAGTGATCCTCCATTTTGCCTGCAAGATTCACTTTTGTCTCCTTTTCACATTTATTTACAAAACTATGCAAATTCACTTTTCAAAGGAAACCACAATCGATAATTTATTAATTTTCGGATAGAAAAACAAGGATATTTCCATGTTTTTTCTAAAAAAACAGATTTGAAGGATATATTTCGTGGACAGACAGACAGACAGAGTTTCAAAAGTCACCCAGAAACTGCAGCGGTCTTGTTTTTGTCACTTTGATTGACGAGGAAATTTATAATTTTGTTCATTGAATGTCGTATACGTCAAAACCTTTCAAAGCTTAGAAATTTAAAACGTTTAAAAATCTCGGGAATAAGATTCTAGAAAATCAAAAATCAAGAAAATCTTAATCTTTTACTGATTCCTATGTTTATCGGGACTGAATGTACTTAGTAAATATTCTAGTTATTTACCTCTACTCACCTGTACTCATCTGTACTCACCTGTAATCACCTGTACTCACCTGTACTCACCTTTACTTATCTGTACTCACCTGTACTCACCTGTACTCAACTGTACTCACCTGTACTCACCTGTACTCAATTTTAGAAATTATCTGAAAGTTTGGAACACATACTCCGTTGATTTCCTCCCAGGACTTTAATCTGGAGGAATAAACAAATTAAACTAAAATTTTTGTAATTTCTTGATGCAATGGGGATTGAGTGAACTTGTCGAAAACTGCAGGATTACATACTACGGGGTTTCATAACTTTAATATTGTTTCTTTCTGTGCCTAATAATTTAATACACTACTATTACATACTACGGGGTTTCATAACTTTAATATTGTTTCTTTCTGTGCCTAATAATTAAATACGCTATTGAAAGTCTTTATTCAAGGCAGAACATTTAATTTCCCATAAAATAGTCATAATTTTAATGTCGTCTTTAAAGTCTCATCCTTTGTGGGGAATCTTGTATAATATTTCAATCCCTACCTTCAATCTGATTTCGCAGACTTTTGATATTCAATATTTTGATTATGTTAGATTAAATGGATAAACTTGGAACGTTATAAGGTTTATACGCTCAGGTTGCAAAGACATCGGGAAAAGAAAATTAGGGGTTTTAGGCGAGTTTGTTAGTTCCTTTCCAGATATAATATAAACAAACAAAAAACATCACAACAATTTGTTAATTTGGATTGTCTGGTTGTTCGTTTGTTTGTGTCCAATAAACATCAAAACGGTTTAGCCGATTGTGCCAACAATTTTAGTGGCCACTCACATAACCCCAGGGAAATGTTTGCCTGGAAAAATGTATCGACAATTTACAATTTTTGAAATCCACCAATTTAAACAAAAAATCCTCAAAAAATTGTCCTTATTCGAAGAAAATAAAAAAAATGAATGCTTGAAAAGCTAAAATTAAAAAATCCCCAAATTCCTTACTCCTTTACCTAGCAGGATAAGCGGAGATCATCTGTCCGTTCCTCCACCTACCAACTAGAGCTGTGGCTAGATCAGGATACAAGTAGGTTGAATCTCCTCCTCCTTCTCCATCAGTTCCTATCAACCAACTTCCTCCTTCAACCCTTCTCCAGCAGGGTCCAGTAGGAGAACCACCTCCATAGTATCCTAGCCAGATCATACCAGCAACCTAGAGTCAAAGTTTGAAATATCAAAGGTTCACACGAAGGTTCTTGATGCAAAGATTAGAAAATTTATAAAGTGTTCTGTTCGTAAATGAAAGTTCAAAATTATTTTGTAAATATTAAAATTTTGTTTAGTTGCCTTTCTCTAATAGATGTACAAGAAAATTTTGATAAACTAAGTTATTTTATTGCATTTTTTACACTCATCAAGTATTTGTTTTATATACAGGTCTAGTGAAGATAAACATCGCATTTCCATTTCATTTTTGTTAAGACAAGAAGCAGGTGTACTTCAAGGCTTCAGGACTGCCTAGTGAGTAAGAAAATAGTAATTATTGTTTCTTGTCTCACACGACTCACACCCTTCATCTTTGTACCCTTGATCTTTTGCTAATAGTTGACAGGGAGTCTCTCACCTTACAGTATCCTCGAACAGGTCCGTGGAGTTTACCGTTGAGAAACCATCCGTCCCAGATAGATTCATCCAACATATGTACTCTTCCTAGACCCTGGAGAACTCCGTCCCGGTAGTTTCCAGAAACTGCTAGAACTCCTAGTTTCTCCAGATCCGGAGTAGTTGCCACACCTGGGCCTTCTCTCCGTCCTTGTCTCCAGGTTCCTTGTAACTCTGTTCCGTCCTTAAGCTTTATAAAGCATCTACCCCGGAGAAGGTTAATTGGTTTATACGTTCTCAAGCTTCTCATCTCTTCAATCCTTTCGTCCGTCTCTCGGAGAAGCACGTAGGGGTCACAGATCTTACCATCGGTCCCGGACAGGTATTCTCATCCATGATATTCTCAACCAACTTTTACCTTCAGCAGCAACTTTATTTATTTGAAACCAAAAATATAAATTTCGAATTTTATTTGAATGTTCATGTTTCCAAGTCTCAGGCTGCTGCAGCAAACGTACTTGTAGCAGTATTCTTGAATAAATGATGAGACTTAACAAATCTGAACCGAGATAGATGCAGCTAAAAGGGACTGTACACCTTATTTAAAGTGACTCTCCATTTAAAAAAATAGTATTTGCCATTCACAACGGTACCCTTAAAATTTTTTTCCAACAAACAATGCATAAGAAATCCATCTCTTCTTGCGTATTTCTGCATCAGAAAAAATGGGGGAAATAAAAATAAACACTTTTCAAGCAAAAAACGACGATATCTTCCACACTATTGATTAAATAAAGTTGTAAAGGATGTACCGTTGTGAATCGGTTTTGTCCTTTTTTAAATGGAATGTCTTGAAATTTCAACGACAGTCCCTTTAAGGAAAAGGGACGGGGGGACGGGGGGGACGGGGGGGGGAATGGTTGTGAATTAATTTTATTTACATGATGTATTACCTACTCTAAGAATTGGGGTTAAAATTTGAAACTTTTTCAAAGAACTTTTTTCAAAATTTAAAATAAACCATGAATTAAAAACTACCTTTTTTATCTTAAACTATGTTACATGAACAGTTAAAAGTATTTTTTCCTTGAAACTCCAAATCAATTCCCCTCGGGTAGATTTAAAGCTAAAAAAGCTTATGAGAAATTTATCTATTTTCCGCATTTTTCAGATGATAAAGCTCAGGTCGCTACAATACCAGACATAGTGAAGATATTTTACTAGATAGGATTAAACAAAAAGAGGAAAATTAATCTACAGAGTTACAAAGGATGAGATTGTAATGACGACCTAAAACTATTGAATTATTAAATTTACGAGGTTAGATAAGTTTAATGTCTATTGTATAGATTTTTCATGATTTAATGATTTAGCAAAGAAAGAAACAAGTTTACAGTTACAAGGAATCATGCATTTTAACTCAGTTTAAGGAAACAAAAAGTAAAAATTCCGTTCAGTCTGTCTCATCCTTTTTGGGTAACCCTGTATCCTATCAAGTAGGAGAGTAAAAGATGAATCTTTAATTGTGCCAGATTTTAGAAAAGACAAGAAAAAGTCAAAAGAATATTTCAAAGTAAAAAAGTGAGAAAAAAATACAGAATAGGATTATAATCTCTGTATTTTGGCAAGCTGATGGTGTAAACCTTTGATTGACTATTAACTCTGCCAGAATTGAAAGTGTCACATATTTAAGGTCTATAACATGAAGTTGCAATGATATAAGGATCAGAAAATTAGAGTTTGATGTAAGTGTTCCTTTCAGAAAAGTTAAATAAAGTAATAGAGATCAAGACAAAAAGTTAAAAAAATAACCGAAAACAAACAATTTTAGAAAAGCAGAATAGTGAAAGAAGACAGATGGAGAAAAAGGCGAAACAAAAAGAAATTATGTACATTGTTTAATAATTTAGAATGAATGTGGAAAATTAAAAGATATTAACAATTAAATATCTAAAATAGTTTATTTTAGAAAAGACGGGAACATGATGGGCTCGGAGGGGGGGGGGCAGTTTTATAGTTTAGATTGAATATACTTACTTTACCAAAATATATTTACAGGATTAGTCAGAGAAGAAACCCACATTTGCTAGCGCTGCAAATGTTAAATATTTCATTTTTTATCCTAAAATAAGTCAAGATTTTTTAGTTTAAATAAGACAAATGTATAAACAGGTTGTTAATACTGTGGTTGAGCATATCATGCCGACTCACCCTGCTCTAGTTCTCCGTACTCAGGTTCCTCGTAATCATAGATAAAATCTAGTCTCTTCTCCATCCTAGCCAACCAGGAGGAGATATACTCACAAGCAGAACTACTCTCTTCATCATCACTTCAAATATTATTATATATAAAGTAGTAATCTCTGTTTTTTTTTGTTTTTTTGGTATGTCTGATCGTAACTCATGAACACCGTGACATATTTAATTGCTCTGTCACCCCTCTACTCTTCCAACAGTCTTTTAAATGTTAACCTTCCCCTTTCATTCCTTCCCCTTTAATTCCTTCCCCTTTCATTCCTTCCCCTTTCATTCCTTCCCCTTTCATTCCTTCCCTTTTAGTTTTGAGAAAATTGAAGATTTTTATGCTTAAGCTTTTTATGATTAAACCTTCAGTTTTCTCAAAACTAAAATTTGAAAAAAAAACTCCCCTGCGAGCTTGAGGTACAGCCAGTTTCTACAAACCTGCATTTACATCATTTACTTTCCTTGTATTAAAAATAAGTATTGGCTATTCGTGATTAAAAAATTATCAGTATTACTTTTATTTCAAGTTTAACTTAAATCTGCACCATCTCATACCTCCCGTCTTTGTTTGTTTTGATTCAATTATATCTTCTCAATTATTCAATAGAAATTAAGGGAAGGAAAACAGGCAATATCTATCTTAATAAACTGTAATGTGTGATAAGTTCTAGTTTTTTAGTCCACAATCATTAATCTTGACCCTTATTGAGTTTTTCAGGTCAAAAAAAAATTTTCGCCTCCTGTCCATCTATGCTATTTATAACTTTTGTCCCCCCCCCCTTTAGAAATTCCTAGCTACGGGCCTGTGAAAATCATTTAGCTTTATATTGTTTTTTTTTCTTGTTTTTTTTTCTGACAAATATTTTACCTGTCAAAGCTAAACCCAATTTGGGTTTTACATCTTTCATTGGAGCTCATACAACCCTTACTCCCTTCATCGCTTTCTTGATTGGAGTCCTTGGAGAACCCACTTCCATCCTGGCTTTCTTCATTGGAGTCCTTGTTTGACTCACTAACATCCTCACTTCCTTCGTTGGAGTCCTTGAATGACTCACTTCCATCCTCACTTCCTTCGTTGGAGTCCTTGTATGACTCACTTCCATCCTCACTTCCTTCGTTTGAGTTCTTATATAACTTACTTCCATCCTGACTACCTCCGTTGGAGTCCATGCTGACATCAGTTACGTGGTTTCTGATTCTTTTTGGGTCGTTTAAGTCCAGGGACTCCATAGAGGACTCCAATGACAGCCCAAGGAGTTCAATGCCCATTTTTCTGAATCTTAAAAACAGATTTAAGTGAAGAGTCTTATACTTCCTTCCTTCTTTTCTACCCTCTATCCTTTTCTTCCATCCTTCATTTCTTTCTTCCTTTCTACCTTTCTCTCTCTCTCTTCCTTCCTCTCTGTTGTAAGTATTAAGAGGAGTAGGATTCAACTGGGAATGGAGAAGGAAGGAAGGAGTTCAGGATTTTTATCTAATTTAGAAAATTTTCAGGCAGTTTGAGGCAGTTAGAGGACACTGTTTACATGAAGCAAATATTCAGGGAATATTGAGTTCTAAGTAAATGTCATTGCATAGTTTATCATAAATTACATTAGACCTTTTAAACCTAAACTTTGAAGTTTTCTCCAGTAGTGTCTTTGCATACACTTACACTAAACACTTACACTATACACTTACACTATAGTCGTCACGTTAATTACATCTTAGCATCTTGACAAAGGAAAAATTGCCAAGAATTTTAAATAATTTTCCTACAATGTGCTAAAAGTTTAAATTTATAAAATGAAATTAAATGTAAAACAAAGAATAAAATTGAAAAATAGTTAAAGCTGATTTTTCTAAAAACTTTATTAAACAAATTGAGTTTGTAACAAAATTCCTTTTAATTAAAAGTTCAAATTTTTCAAAGTTTTCAATTCTAGAATCCTTTTTTAAACATAAAGATTCTTTTCACAAGTTAGTAAAAAATTATGGAGTAATTAAACTATAAATTAACGCTTTACAAGGATAACAGAGTTTAAATAACGAATTAATGGAATTAAGAAAATATGTTTATACTCTTCTCTGCTTAACTTTCATTTTCTCTACTTTTCTTAACTGTACTCTTCTCTACGCAACTGTACTCTTCTCTACTTAACTATACTCTACTCTACTTAACTGTACTCTTTTCTGCTTAACTTTCATTTTCTCTTCTTTTCTTAACTGTACTCTTCGCTACGCAACTGTACTCTTCTCTACTTAACTATACTCTTCTCTACTTAACTGTACTCTTCTCTACTTAACTATACTCTTCTCTACTAAGTATCCTGCTCTATATAACTAGGTATCCTGCTCTATATAACTAAGTATCCTGCTCTATATAACTATGTATCCTGCCACCTGCTCTATATAACTAGGTGTATTTATATAACAGTGTTGCAGTGCTGCTATGCTGGATATATAACTATTGTTAGATATATTCTCTAACCTGTCAATGTTAAATAAATAACGCACATTTTTCTACCTGGAAATATTTAAGGGTTAGCTTTTTCCTTTAATAGGACAAATTGTTGTGCTAGTGCTAGTCCAGGATCCTGACTTGAAACAGACCTAATTGAAGCATCTATACTTTTGTTTAAAACTGTCATATAATATGTTGTTTAGGGGGGGGGGGGGTTNTCTACTAAACTGTACTCTTCTCTACTTAACTATACTCTTCTCTACTTAACTATACTCTACTCTACTTAACTGTACTCTTCTCTGCTTAACTGTACTCTTATCTACTAAACTGTACTCTTCTCTACTTAACTATACTCTTCTCTACTAAACTTTACTCTGCTCTACTTACTATACTCTTCTCTACTAAACTGTACTCTTCTCTACTAAACTGTACTCTTCTCTACTTACTATACTCTTATCTACTAAACTGTACTCTTCTCTACGCAACTGTACTCTTCTCTACTTAACTATACTATACTCTACTTAACTGTCCTCTTCTCTGCTTAACTGTACTCTTATCTACTAAACTGTACTCTTCTCTACTTAACTATACTCTTCTCTACTAAACTTTACTCTGCTCTACTTACTATACTCTTCTCTACTAAACTGTACTCTCCTCTACTAAACTGTTCTCTTCTCTACTTAACTTTACTCTTCTCTACTTATCTATACTCTTCTCTACTAAACTTTACACTTCTCTACTTAACTATACTCTTCCCTACTTAACTATACCCTTCTCTTCTTAACTTGGCTGCACTCTCAAGCAACCCGACTCTCGGAAGAGGTCACTCTTCTCTACAAAACTGTACTCTTCTCGACTTAACTATACTTTTCTCTTCTTAACTGTACTCTTCTCTACTTAACTGTACTCTTCTCTACTTAACTGTACTCTTTTTTACTTAACTATACTCTTCTCTACTTAACTGTACTCTTCTTTGCTTAACTGTACTCTTCTCTACTTAACTTTACTCTTCTCTACTTAACTGTACTCTTCTCTTCTTAACTGTACTCTTTTTTACTTAACTGTACTCTTCTCTACTTAACTGTACTCTTCTTTGCTTAACTGTACTATTCTCTACTTAACTGTACTCTGCTCTACTTAACTGTACTATTTTTTAATTAACTGTACTCTTACCTACATAACCGTACTCTTCTTTGCTTAACTGTACTATTCTCTACTTAACTGTACTCTTCTCTACTTAACTATACTCTTCCCTACATAACTGTACTCTACTCTACTTAACTATACTCCTCTCTACTTAACTGTACTCTTCTCTTCTTAACTGTACTTATCTGTACTTAACTGTACTCTTCCTACTTAACTTTTTTTCTTCAGAAATTTAATTTAAACAAAAATTTTGTTTGTAGTATTAAGTGACCCTCCATTTATAGACCTAATATAGCATATATGAATAACAACTGTACCCTTCAAACTTAAGTCTGACAAAACTAATGGACATGACCTTTTTCACTTGGAAAAAAAAAATTTCAATTGTGGTTGGATATAAAAGGGGCTTGCGGATATATGCAGCAAAAAATGTCAGAATTAAACACTTTATAAGAAAGAGTTGTTACTTAGATAAAAAGTAAACGGTACCTTTTTGAATTGGACATGCTACTAGTTCTTCAAATGAAAGATCACTTACAGTCCTTTTAAATCTCTTGTTATTTGTTAAATATTCTCATGTGTATTGAGAACTCTGTTTAGTTCCTGATTTGACTTGTTGAATCAACGGAGCGAGGAGTAGAACTAGCGATCTTACTAGCGTGCTGGTCAAACAGTTTCCAGTATTCGTACTTATACAACTTATACTTTAGGTTCCAGACACTGTTGTCAATCCGGCATTTTTTCTTTTTCCATTATAGGTGACCCAGGAAAATTAGAAAGAAATACGTCGTTTCAATTATAATGTTATTCTTGAGAACTTTCCTTAACTAAAGTGTTTCCTGACATTTTGTCTTAGTAAATATCTATTTTTTAATGTATATTCCCTAGTATTTTCTTATTTATTTGGGGAAGGTTATCATGCTTAACACCATGTATCTTGCGTGTTTTAAGAATAAGATGAAATTTTTGTTCATGTTTTTAAGTCTTAAACATTTACTTTTTTGTCCTGCTTATCTCTAAAACAAGAAATCCTATATTTAAGACTTTGCTTTGAAGAAGCCATTTGACAAGTGGAGTCGATAAATCAGGACGAAAAGTGTAAAATTAATGTTTAAAACTCTTAAATGTGCTCCTGAGCTTCCTGCACTAATAACGTCATTTCCCACTCCTCCTCCAGGTTAGAACAATAAACTGTCAATCATTCAATACTTTAGAGAAAACAAGGGACTGCAAGGGGTTAAAGAAGATTCAAGATGAATAGAGGGTTCTGGAGGGGACTGCAGGGGGTTGGAGAGGGCTGAACAAAATCTACACAAATGTTAAGACCCCAAAAAGGAAACTCGGGAGTTTCGTTCAACGATACTCTTTTAAATTTCGGGCGCAGGGGGGAGGGGGAGAGTGATACAAATGTTTCTTGTGTAATTTAATATTTAAAATAGAATATGTACAGTGTGTACAGTGTACCCCCTGTCCTTATTTTAATGCTGTTTAATCTTAAAATATAAAAGGCTTCTATCAACTGTGCTTTGCAACAATGCAAATTTTTATTTAAAATTTTCATCAAAAAAGTTTGAGATCTGTAAAATGCTTTAGACTGGACAAAATCTGCAGGATGAAGGGTGAAGATGAAGGACGAAGAATGAAGGATGAAGGATGAAGGATATGAAGAATGAAGGATGAAGGATGAAGGATGCAGGATGAAGGATGAAGGATGAAGGATGAAGGATGAAGGATGAAGGATGAAGGATGAAGGATGAAGGATGAAGGATGAAGGATGAACTAGAGAAGAGGTGAGGTTCAATGAATGGTTTAAAGACTATAAACAATAGAGTGCAATGCTCTCTCTCTACCCTATGCTGGGAGATAGGCTAACACTGCAAGGTTTAATGACTTCTATACTAGGGAGGAGGAGGGTTCAAACCAACACACAATATTATATAACAGAGCTTTAATACAAGGTACGTAAATATACAGGGACTCTCAATAAACATTACACGGTTTCAAGATCCCACTTTGACATTTGAAAAACCTTCTAACACGGCTCATAATTTTGTATCTTAAAAAATGACAAAAGATATTGGTTGTATATAAAGGGTCTTTAGGCGGAATTTCAAGTGACCCGTCATTTATAAACAAGTTCCTTTAAACAATTTGAGAGTTATATTCTATATCCTTTCTTTGAATTGCAATTTTATAAATCTCTCGTAACTTTAAATTTTATAAATCTCTCGCAACCTTGAATTTTATAAATCTCTCGTAACTTTGAATTTTATAAATCTCTTATAAATCTCTCGTAACCTTGAATTTTATAAATCTCTCGTAACTTTGAATCTTATAAATTTCTCGTAACTTTGAATTTTATAAATCTCTCGTAACCTTGAATCTTGTAAATCTCTCGTAACTTTGAATTTTATAAATCTCTCGTAACTTTGAATTTTATAAATCTCTCGTAACCTTGAATCTTGTAAATCTCTCGTAACTTTGAATTTTATAAATCTCTCGTAACTTTGAATTTTATGTAACTTTGAATTTTATAAATCTCTCGTAACTTTGAATTTTATAAATCTCTTGTAACTTTGAATTTTATAAATCTCTCGTAATTATGAATTTTAGAAATCTCTCGTAACTTTGAATTGAAAGCAAATCCCGTTTTCTTAAAAGCAAAGACTGTTTTTTTTTAAATATATTTATTATTTCAGAATCACGCTTGCAAATTGATAAATGAAATACTGGATTATATTTCGATATTTCATTGTTAGTTTTATTGAGGGAGATAATGCCGTGACTTGTAACTTTGAATTTTATAAATCTCTCGTAATTATGAATTTTAGAAATCTCTCGTAACTTTGAATTGAAAGCAAATCCCATTTTCTTAAAAGCAAAGACTGTTTTTTTTAATATATTTATTATTTCAGAATCACGCTTGCAAATTGATAAATGAAATACTGGATTATATTTCGATATTTCATTGTTAGTTTCATTGAGGGAGATAATGCCGTGACTTGTAACTTTCAGCTTTTTAAATCTCTCGTAATTATGAATTTTAGAAATCTCTCGTAACTTTGAATTGAAAGCAAATCCCATTTTCTTAAAAGCAAAGACTGTTTTTTTTAATATATTTATTATTTCAGAATCACGCTTGCAAATTGATAAATGAAATACTGGATTATATTTCGATATTTCATTGTTAGTTTCATTGAGGGAGATAATGCCGTGACAATGATCATTCATATGAATGAGCAAGAATAACAATGAACAAGAATATTATAGATCAAGATTATCAATGATCAAGATTATCAATGATACAGAATACCAATGATCAACATTATCAATGTTCAAAAATGTCAAAAATCAATTAAATCAATGAACAATTTTATATCAATGATCAATAATATACATAATCAAGAATATCTATGATCAAGAATATCAATGATCAAGAATATCAATAATCAAGAATATCAATTAACAATAATATCTATGATCAATTATATATATGATCAATAATATATGTGATCAATAATATATGATCAAGAATATAAATGATCAAGTATATCAATGATCAAGTATATCAATGATCAAGTATATCAATGATCAAGAATATCAGTGATCAAGAATATCAATGATCAAAAACATCAATGATCAAGTATATCAATGATCAAGAACATAAGTGATCAAGAATATCAATGATCAAGAATATCAATGATCAAGTACACCAATGAGCAAGTATATCAATGATCAAGAATATCAATGATCAAGAATATCAATGAGCTAGAATATCTATTATCAAGAATATTATAAATCACATTTTTATTTTTAACTAGAATATAAAAACAAAATGAGCGTAGTAATTTCACGGATTAATCAAGAACACTGATGATAAAAATAAAGATCTATAGAATGTTTAAAAAATCCGGATATCCGGTAGTTACGGATATCGGTTCTATCCTGAAGAGAGAACGTTTTTATCATGTTAAACGGGAAGCTCCTGAGATAAAATTTCGAATATAAGTTTGAAGGATCTAGGATTAGGGATCAGTTGAATCTAACCCTACCAACCCTAAAACTATCCCAGAGCTAAACCTCAGCTTATCCTCATCCTGCACAGAAAAGATGGTTCTGAAATTCCTGGACTCTGATGTAAACATGGATGACTACATTAAACCAAAGGCATACGATCTACAAGACGTAAGTTAATCTGTGTTAGATACAGGGAAACAACACTAAGAATGAGACTGTAGAGACGACTGTACGGAATTTATACTGTCTGTTTCCTTACATTTATGACTCTCTGCAACTTTGAACTTATTTCTTTTTTTTTCAAACTCAAAAAAGGCTAAAAAGACCATCTTCGAAACAGAAGACTTAATTCAAATATGTAATCGTTATATTTAAAGAGTTTCAGGTCGTCTTTACAATCTCATCCTTTATAGGTAACCCTGTACTAGCTTTGCTTGTAACACTTTTTCTACAAACGTCAACCCACTTAGATTAGAATTTTTAAATCATTTCCGTATTTATATACTGGGTTACCAAATAAAAAACTGTGGCAAATTGATCAAGAGTTATGAGGAGAACTAAACAAACAAATAGTCAAAGATAAGTACTTCTATATATATATAAAGTTGTAGTCTCTGTTTGTCTGTCTGTTTGTTTGTTTGTCCAATCATAACTCAGGATCCCCTGGACCGATTTGCCTCAAATTTAGATTGGGGAACTCGACTTAAAGAGCGAAAATTTAGTTTTCCGGTAAAATCGTTTAATTGTGCGGGTAAACAGTATGAGTAACTTTTAGTAACCTGGGCAGCGCTGAGTTCCCAAGCTAGTTATTATATATTTACATGTAGATAATAAATTTTAATGAAGTTTAGTTTAAAGTACACGGCTCAAGCCACAAATCAATATTGATTGATAATTATTAACCACAAAAGTTTATTTGGATTTTTAAATATTAATATGTGACAGTAGAAATTTGTTTAATTTATTGCTTTGAAAAAAAATCATCATCTTGAAGGTTTTTATGTTCTAAATAAAGGTTTTAGTCATTTCGATTTCTTTAAAAATGTTAGATTATCAAAGTTTTACGCAATGATCGGTAAAGATCTAAAAGGCCAATTCAATCAGATTGATATAAAAATCGTCAAGCCAACATATGTTTGAGTGTTAATCAAGAGTCGGACTATTTTAGGTCTATTCCGATAAGTCAATCTCAATAATAGGTTTCTTCTAATTTTGCAAATTCTAGATTTGTCGGAGAATTACAACGGGAGAAGGTTGGGTTGTACTGGAAGGAATGTTTAGCAGCCAAGATATTGAAATGGCGAAGGAACGGATTTTTGCCGGTAAACTGACTAACCAAGGGAGCTTTAACAACCCAGATGATCGTCATAACAACTACGACGGACTTAAATGGGGACTTTTATCAAGGGGTAAAATATTTTCCAAAATGGCGGCTCATCCAACCATCATGGAGGTTTCCTGCAAACTTCTGGGAAACAAATGTCGTCTTTCCAGCCTGGCTGCTAACACAGTTCTACCTGGAATGAAAGGTCAGCAGCCCCACCTTGACTATCCGTATTATAGACATCTCTGGCCGGAGAGTGAGGATTGTATGAACCTTCCTCCGACCCACCTCCTTGCTCTACAAATTGTAACCCTGCTAACAGACTTCAAGCCTGAAAACGGTTCAACGGCCATTGTTCCAGGATCTCATATTAACCCGAAGCATCCTGATAATCCAGAAGAGTTCTTTTCTAAAGCAATTCAGTTGACGGCCAAGGCTGGTGACGTCATCATGTTTGCTGGTCCAATCCAACATTGTGCCATGGCAAACAATACTTCACAGATACGTTGTGGGATACTGCAGCACATGGTACCCTTGTACATCACTCCCTTCGAGGACATCACCTACAAGGTAGAGCCGGAGAACGAAGTTATACGTCAACTTCTTGCAGTTGATAATCCTCATCCAATCCTCAAATATCAGAGGAATAACTCGAAGAGAGGATCTATCGCCAGTGGTGAGGACATGGATATAAAAGATATAGAGCTAGGAAGATAAACTACAATCAATAGTACTCATGAAGCAATCTGAGTAAAATTTAGCCTTCTTTACGTCTGAGTAATTTTCATTTTGCTTTAGATCTGAGTAACATGTAGTTTCATTAATATTTGAGTAACTTTTAGGTAAAATTAAATATAAGTAATTTTTGTTTAGTTTAGGTCTGACATCTTTTTAGAGTAAATTGTAGTTTTCTTAATATAGAGGTAAATTTATTTTAAATATAAAAGTTGTAGTTTTTCAGATCTGATTAACTTGTATTGATAGTTCTATAATTGAGTCTTTGTCTTATATCTTAGTTGAAAATAAATTTATGTAACTTTAATTTGTCAAAACTGAAAAGTTTTTTTAGTTCGGAGTAACTTGTAGTTTTTATAAGTAAACAAGTAATTTTTAGCTAAAAATAGATTTTTACTTTAGTTTAAATCTGAGTAAGTTTGAAAGTAAAATGGAAATTTGAATAATTATTTATTTAAAGACTTGAGTCTTTGCCACAAACTCTTATTTTTCAATCCCTAAATCTTTGCAATATATATATTTTATATATCAAACGTTTACACATCAGGTTTCAAAGATATAGGGATGAACTATTTTCAATTGTGTAGAGTGGCTTAATTCCTTTATAGCTGAAAAATGTTTTGTTGAATTCAGATATCAAAAATGTTTCTTCAAATTAAAGTTTAATTTAGATTAAATAATTATGTTAATAATAATATATAGGGAGTCCCAAAAAACATGGGAATTCAGTAACGAATTTGATATCGTCTTTGTTATGAATTAGCACTGTAAGACCTAATTTCAATAATATTATTATGTCTGCTAGCGTTTATTTTATGAAAACGGTAAATGGCTGAAAATATGTGATGAACAGTGAAGACGGACAAGTTTACTCTGTTTGTATACTGCAATTTTCTTGTTTTACTAAGTACAACAGTATGCAGTCAAAACATAAACAAACAAAATGAGAACATAGCAGACAAAACTCTTTCAGATTACAGCTTTCTCAGTAGGTATCACTATACTAAATCAAAGAATTATGTAAAAAGAAGATATCGAATTCGTCACTGAATTTCCATGTTTATTGGGACACCCTGTAGATTATGCAGGTTAAGATTAAGAAGAAATAATGTTTTAAAAAGTTGTTTATATTTTAAAAAATTTATTCTTTGTTTCTTCATTTGAGTCGCAATATGCACCCAATCGAATTTATTTCAGTTTTTTTCAAACTATCTCATGATAGGCATTGATAACACTTACATTTTTTATGTTTTTTTTATGGAAATAAAAGCGCTTTATTTTTGGGGTTTGAAAATAAATTTATGAATTTAGATAAATTTTCAAAAAAAACATTAAATTTAATTTTGTGTATTTATTATTCTTCTTCATTAAATAAAAGTTGAAACCAGAAATTCTAGATTTTTGTGAATGTAAGTTTAAATTAAATATTGAATAGCAGACTGAGCTATATATAGTACTCATATGTTAGAAATATGATATGATTAAATTTATAAAATAAACAAATTATTTCAAATATTTTCTGCTGACTAGAATTAACCGTCTCTCTGTTATTGAATTTATAAACTGTCTAGGCTTCCATAGATCCAATACTTCTTATATCTTAGTTGAAAATAAATTTATGTAACTTTAATTTGTTCAAAACTGAAAAGTTTTTTAGTTCAGAGTAACTTGTAGTTTTTATAAGTAAACAAGTAATTTTTTAGCTAAAAATAGATTTTAGGTATGTTTACTATAGTTTAAATCTGAGTAAGTATGAAAGTAAAATGGAAATTTTAATAATTATTTGTTAAAAGACTTGAGTCTTTGCCACAAACTCTTATTTTTCAATCCCTAAATCTTTGCAATACATATTTTATATATCAAACGTTTACACATCAGGTTGTAAAGATATAGGGATGAACTATTTTTAATTGTGTAGATTGATTTAATTCCTTTATAGCTGAATAATGTTTTGTTGAATTCAGATATCAAAAATGTTTCTTCAAATTTAAGTCTAATTTATGTTATGTTAATAATAATAAAGATAATGTAGTTTAATACAAGGTTATAATGCAAGGACAGATATTTCAGGGTTGTGTACATCTTTTGTACTGCAGTGTACTGTCTCTGGGCGGTAATGTAAACACAAGACGGATGTCGAAGCCTGACATGGGATCCATCTTTCATTAAAAAATCAATGAAATATTCTGGGCATAGGAAACTATTATGTGAATTATCAAAATTATCAAAATTTAATGCTTTTAACCTCCTCGTATACTTGTTCCGCCCAGAGAGAACTGGTTTCAATATGTACGCAGAGTATACGCAGCTGTAATTAACCTTACTTGCATTATAACCTTGGTTTAATAACGATCAAAGTAATAGGTAGGGAAGAAATAATGTTTTTAAAAAGTTGTTTACTTAAAAAAAAACATTTTCTTCATTTGAATTGCAATATGCACCCAAGTGAATTTATTTAAGTTTTTTTCAAACTAGCTAATTATAGGCATTGATAACACTTACAATTTTTATGTGTTTTTTTTTTATGGAAATAAAAGCGCTTTATTTTTGGGGTTTGAAAAGATAAATTTATGAAATTAGATAAATTTTCAAAATAAACTTTAAATTTAATTTTATATAATTATTATTCTTCTTCATTAAATAAAAGTTGAAACCAGAAATTCTAGATTTTTGTGAATTTAAGTTTTAATTTAATATTGAATGGCAGACTGAGATACATAGTACTCATATTTTAGAAGTATGATATGATTAATTTATAAAATAAACAAATTATCTCAAATATTTTCTGCTGGCTAGAATTAAGCACACTTTGCCACAGCCAGTAACTGGATTGGTGTCCAGACTGGTGTTCACGGGTTCGATTCCCGTACTCCACACAAACCTGTGGTTTCAAAAACATCTGAAGCCGACATCTGACGGATGTAGAAGGACAGAGGGGCGGCTGTCAAGGGTGCGTGCTTTCTACTCAACAAGACAGAAGCTTCAAGTGGGATTGATCCAAGTGAATGATGGAATGATGATGAAGAGAGGAATGGTGGACAAGCAGGGAGAGTCTATGGTTGCCAGCTATAGGTACATGGGGGTATCCAATCCGGGCTTACAGATGTTAGGGAGCAATGAGTGTGATGTTTCCTATCAGTATGGCACCCGGGCCTCATTCCAGTATATCAGAAGGATTCCTGCACTCTATATTCTCAGGCCTCAGAAGAATCTTAGGCAGCTGGAATCTTGTCAACCCTCTTCTCAGAATGAATGAAGATGGATGGATGAATGTGCTGCCAGATTACAATCCCTGGTAGATCAATATAAAAACCCAGACAACACCAAACTTTCGCAATAGAAAAAATTCCGAGATTTGATCGTAACAACCCGATCATGTCCTGGGGACAAAAAATCTCTTTAAAAAAGAATTAACCGTCTTTCTGTATAAACTGACAAGGCTTACATAGATCCAGATTGCAATGAAAGTTAAGCAACAATTTTCAAAACTGGGTCGGCTCAAAATTGTCGCCATACCCCTTGGGTTTTGATTTTACTGCACTAACTCACGCGTACTTGTGTAGCCATAGACTTATACATTTTTGAACTGTAAAGAAGTAATTAGCAAAATATTGCAATCTTTAGATCACTGTGTGCTAAACGCTAATACTTGTAATTCAGGGCTCAAGCACGCCTATTTGATCCTTTCTTAAAATTTGTCTGTATTTTTGGCTTTCGGTAAACCTAAAAAAAAATTACGACCTTCGACAAATTGCAAAACATTGTTTTTTTTTACTATTTTTTTTATAGATAGGAAATTTTAAGTAACAAAAGATTTGATTTTTGATGCATATATATAATTATGTTTATAGCTATTTTAAAACTGTAATTTATCCGTCTTTGCAGTTTGGATATTAAAGTTTTGAATTTCATTGATTGGAAAATTGTGTAAACAATCTGTTGTGTGAGGGGGGGAAGGCAAGCCACAAACGTAGCGCTTCCAATCCACAATTTATTCATAAACATAGACTTGCTTCAAAGCGCTCACCCGTAGCGCTTCCTTAGCCACACCCAAATAGCTTCCGGCAAAATGTCTTTACTTTTAAAAGCATCATTATTTTAAGATTCTAAAGACGTCATGGCATCTATTATAACCTAAACTTATTTATCATATTTTTATTTGGTAAATAATTTTAATCGGAACATTGTTTCAGTGTAAATCATTAGTTGCGGCATTTGCTCTTACCCAAATAGCTTTGATATTCCACACTGTAAAGACGGCATGAAACCATTTAAATTTTACGATTCCGAATCTTCTGCCTTGATTATACAAGGTCAGCCTAGAACAATTGAATTTCCGAGCCGGGTCAACCTTTCCGGTCCCAGTTTTTACTGTACTGCACAGACATTGGGTTAATAAAGCAGACAATCAACAGGACTAGCCGGTGCAATAAGGTTGACACGGTCAGACTTTATGCTTCATATATTTTGAATTTACTTTTACTAAAGGGGCAGAGGGACGTGTATAATCTTTCTATGGCTTCATCAATGAAACAGCAAAGAAAAAAACAAGTTTACAGTTGCAGAAAATCATAAATATAAGGAGAGACCATATGTAAGAGACAATTTTTTTTCCAATAATTTAAATATTTTTCATACTTTTATATGCCTTAATAATTTTCAACAAAATATTTTCGTGGGGGTATATTGCGCTACTTAACTAAGGCATTTTCGTCCTGAAAATGCGTTCATTTTTTATTCAAATTTGGTTTGCACTGTGTACTTTCTTGGTAAGAAATGGAATTTTTGCAATTTCCTCATTAATATTTCGTACATTTAGGCCGATGTTAATCTTTTTTATACATGTTTTGAAATTAAGGATAAGATTAATCTTTACAAGAAACATGCAGTTTTGTGTAGGATTCTCTTCAAAATTATCTAAAAGAAATAATGATATTAAAGTAATAAAAATCTTTTTTGCATCAATTATTGTTGCGTGACGTTGACAAATGGGAGTTTATTATATTCATTTATGGATGAAATTAGGCAATAAAAATTAAGACATTTTGGCGGAAGCTATTTGGGTGTGGCTAAGGAAGCACTACGGGTGAGCACTTTGCCGCAAGTCTATGTTTGTGAGTAAATTGTGGATAGGAAGCGCTGCGGATGTGGTTTGCCTCCCCCCCCCCTCGTTGCGTAAACACTGAAAACTTGAATCCAAAATTGTCCTCCATTTTCTATT